GGCCTCAAACCAACAAGTCCAACTCTCAACCCTCCCATTTAGCTTCCTATTCTTTCCTAATCCCCCCCGGCAGGGAAGAGCCCTGGACTTGAGCAGGTGGCTCTTCATCTGCTTGATTCTTCTCTTCTTTCCTAATCCTCACCGGCATGGAAGAGCCCTGGACTTGAGCAGGTGGCTCTTCATCTGCTTGATTCTTCTCTCCAGATGGTAGGTTGGGGTCATGGTCACCTGTAAAGGAAGAAAGTCAGTCCTGCACCCAATTTGGAGTTTGCCAGAAGGAGTTTGGATACTTCTGCTCACTTTGTGAATTCCGCTGTCATATTTATTTATTTGGTTTTTCGAGACAGGGTTTCTCTGTGTAGCTTTGGAGCCTCTCCTGGCACTCGCTCTGGAGACCAGGCTGGCCTTGAACTCAGAGATCTGCTTGCCTCTGCCTCCCGAGTGCTGAGATTAAAGGCGTGTGCCACCACTGCCCGGCTCCGCTGTCATATTTAAAAAACATTTTTTGTTTGATTGTATGGGTGTTTTGCCTGTGTGTATATTTGTGCATCACTTGCACGTAATGCCAGAAGAGGCCAGAGGTTGGGGCTGGATCCCCTGGAACTGGGGTTTGGTTTTGAGACAGGGTCTCATTGTGTGACGCTTTGGCTGTTTTCAAACTCAAAAAGATCCTCATGACTCTGCCTCCTCTGAGTGTTGGGATTACAAACTACATCATCATGCCCAACTCCTTGTCATTTTTGAGACAGTCTCAAGTAGTCCAAGCTACCCTTGAATTCCCTATGTAATTGAGACTGACCTTAAACTTCTAGTCCTCTTTCCCCCACCTCCTAATGCTGGGGTTACAGACTTGTTTCACAACGCCACCCACCCAGTCTCAGTCGTCTAGCTTGGTACGTAGGAACTACGAGGCTTTCAGACAATCACTAGCCCTGGGTCCAACAGCAACCACATTGATAGTAGGTAATTTGAAGCCAAGATATCCAAGGCAGACACAGCCTGCACTCAGGAAATTTAGGGGATCACCAACTCCCTGAGGCTCTCACCGCCTGATGCTAGATGCTGCTTCAGTCGCTCGTCCAGCATCCGGCAGAGCCTGTCTCCGAAGTGCTGAAGGATCTTGGCTTCCTTCCCGCTGCGCAGAGGTAGCGGGTACCGTCGGAGGGAGCGCAGTGCCTGGCGAGCATACGAAAGGAACTCATCAAGTTAGGCTACATGGATCATCTGGTTCCGCTCCAGAAGACCCAGCTGGGACTCACCTTTTGAAAAACAAAGCGCGTGTGGCGCCCTCTGCTGGCTGCCTCGTCCCGCCACTCGGTCAGCCAACGAACGAAGAGCGGGTTGGGGCAAACCGGCAGTGGGCGCTTCCGGCCCAAGCGGATCCGTGCCGCCATAAGATCTAGACTGGCTCTTTTGGAGCCCTTCAGAAACCCTGAGATTGGGACCCCGACAGTTCAGCAGCTGGTATAGGAACACCTGACTGAGGGTAAGACCTCTGCACTCTAGCAGGGGACTGACTAGCTCACCGAGTGTCCTCCCCTCCCGCCTCTATGTGACACAGTAAGAGGCGAGGGAAAGTTAGGTCTGTACCACCCTTCCCCTAGAACCTCCCCCATTGCCCGGCAGCACCTGCCCTTTGCACAGGCCCCACCCAGGCTACGGGGCTTTGGCCCGCCCCTTCCTCTCACCCCAAAATTCCAGAAAGGGCAGGATCGTTTTGTGCTGACCATTGAAAGGCCGGACAGCGCCCCCTGTGACCGGGAGGGCTGGCTGGGGAGACGCACAGGAGCCTGATCTCGGCTTGCCTCAAGGTCTCCTAAGGCTATTTTAGGCTGTTGTAGAAGAGACTGGAAAAAGAAGGCTCGAGAAAAGGGAGGGGGGGCAGGACGGACACAAGTGCAAGACAGACGTCTATGAAGGGGTGCAAGGGAAGAAATAAAGGTAAAGCAGAAGTGGCAGAAAGATCTCGAAATGTGAGGGGGCAAAGTCGGGGATGTACACCGAAGGCTCAGGCTACGTGAACGGCGAGGGGGTGTGTGGTGTGAGGTGTGAGGTGCGTCCTGGCAGATGGGGAGGTTGGATCCTGAAGAGACTGGCAGACGCGTCGCTTTTGCGGCTCACTGAAAGTGCAGGAGCCTCAGGGAGGCTGAAGGTGGGCACTTTGCTTGGGGGGGGGTCGGGGGTGGGCGGATAGCTCAGGTTGATAATCAATAAAGCACAGGAGGGGGTCTCTTCAGGGATTGGAACAGCCCACGATCTCCAGCTGTCATGCCGGAAGTCGTTGTCCACCTCACTGGCCGACCCTCTTTTCAATCTAGCCTTCCGCACCCTCCTCCTTCCTCGGGCAGCCTTATAAGGAGCCAGAAGCTGGCGCTCGGGCTGGGCACGCCCCCTGGAGTCTCATTCCCTAATAAGGACATCTAGGGCATCTCGTGGCCGGGGGCGGAAGGAG